ACATCCAAAAACATATGTTTATTTTATTGCTTCAACAGGACGAATTCATTGAAAATGTTGCAGTATGGTTATTAGCTTGGTTATTATCAGATGGTATCGGCAGGTTACACTTAGCAGGTACATTTACCTAGTAGTTCGATAGTACGCAAAAATAATCAAATATTTTTTTTATCGCATGGAGCGCACGAAAGGGAATCCCTATAATGTTCGAAGAACATCGTGCGTTCCTAGGGAGGATAGGGACAGGAGGTAGGTATTGGAATTTTTTTTGAACTTTTGGAGATTATATGTTGTTGGGAATACTTCCACAGGCAATGAATTCCAGAGCATAAAAAGGGACATCAAGAATTATCCACATGTAAACATTCCTTTCATTCCAACTACTACTGCAATATAACCACATTTTCAAATGGGCTATGATTACTATTTCATGTTGAATATGTCGATGCCCGAGTTCAATAGTGTAACAAGTCGAAAAATAACCATTTTGAGTTGTATACGCTATCTGGTTCAACATTTTCATAGTTTTCACGTGCTATATTGTAACAGCTGGAAGTTTCAGTACTGACCAAGAGATGGTGCTAGTTAGTCTATAGAACTGAAGGAAACTTCATTATCATATAATTCCATACTGTTTTAACTCCACACAAGAATCAAGACTTGTTACATTGCATAGCTCAAAATGGTCAATTTCAACTCTCAAAACAAACTTATATAACTATGTTATATCATTGTTTTTGTAATGATTGTAGTTATTCAACTTCTCTATTAATGATGATTTTTGATCACAGAGCTTCATATTATTATTATCTACTATATAATTCAATAGCCGAACATTTTACCAAACGTTTTTTCTCTCTAAATTTGTTGAGTGGCAGGGCTATGATTTTATATTCTTGAGACATTAATCTACAAATTTAGATTCGAATTATTATGACTTGAATTTTCAATTGCGATTTTCTGGAAACTACGATTTTTGAGATGTTACACTATTGAACTCGGTTATCGATATAATAATCGAGTGTAATTCAATTAGTTCAGACAGGGTTGTAATTCAGATGAAAAATCTGAACCTTATGAAACGATAAAAGCATACCCCTTTGATTAAAAAGCTGGTAAACGCCATGGTCTACGATAACGCATGTCTGTGATGATTACAATACTTGCGCATGCGCATCATGTCACCAAATCCTTATGGATAATCATTTGTTTCATATTTTCATAGCGGATTCCATTGGTGAAACTAGTGCGCACTCAATGTATACATTTCTCTTTCTGCTACACGTCAAATAGTATAGATATACACTGAGCGCATAAATACTCCACCAGTTCATTCCCAATTAGCTATTAGCTTCATCCTGCAACCGTTGTTATCCATATTTTTTATTGATACGTGTATGGCTGGCTGGCTGACTCTTCAGTTTGACTAAATGTCGTGAATTTAGCCGGATTGCTCTGAAACTTTGGTGATTTTTCAATGCGGCGTTGTTCGTCTCCGACTGGTTATGACTGTTTGACTCTTGGAATACTCACATAGTTTAACCAATCACACACCAAAGCCAACTGGTATTATCGTATTTTCGCGATTATTCCAAAATACACGTCTGTGATTGGTTGAAATATCTATGTTGGTTATGTTTTCGATTTTGTATTTCGGCAGTTGATTGGACACTGGATACTTATTATGCTGTTATTTCGATTTTGTATTTCGCTTCCTTATTGGTAGTTTGATCAAATATAAAACAAAATAATTTACCAGCATGAGGCTGTCATGGATGTTGACATTTTTATGTTCAGGAACTCAACACGAAATCGTAATACGCACTCACTGTCATTTTGTATGGAATATTTTCAATATCAATCTAATGATTTCACGAGTAAATTGCTAACCTCCTAACCATAACATAATCTTAAACCAGACAATCCTCAGATCATCTGACAGTGAATAGTGTAGTGAGCCGCCAGTGCGGTCACGCCCTAAATTCTTAGGTGGATGCATAACGCAACGTCTGCATATCAAAATGGATGAAATTATTGTTTCACCCATGAATAAATAATGAGTGTAATAATCTTATCGAAAATTCCATCTCTTTTTCGAAACAAATTATGTTGCATAATTTGTTTCTCAAAATCGAAGGGTTTTTTATTTCGATAATCATCAATACACTTGTTGTATTACATACGGAAACACTAGGTATCTTCAGCATTGGTGATCTCTAACCATGTTCAGCAAAATGAGGTTTGACAAAAATGATTATAGCTGTAGACGTTAGCATGAGTTGCTTTGATTATTATGGTTTGTTCATGAAATAACTTTTGAGACCGAAGGACTTGCTTTTTAAAAACAATTATTTTATTCAAAATGGACAATGATACATGTAAGACGATGTTTACGGTATAAAAACTAAGTTCTGACTGCCGGCTGAAGTGCATCTAGGAATAAGGTAGACTATTGTCTAGCTCAGCATCTTCTTCTTAGGCGATGGGGATACAAGCTGCGTCAGCGGAATCCCTGGGATAGGTGGTGACATGATTCATGTTTATAATACATGCTCTAATTTCGTGACCAACAGATTCAACTCGTATTCAGAACATTGTGATAATACTGCTGAAAATCATCGGCTGATAACATCTCACGTGGATAATAGTCATAGTTACAAAAGATTAATAAATTATGTATCACTCGGAGACCCGCATTCTAAGTTGATATCAAGTAAACATTTTGCTGCCCGGTTGTCGAGAGCACAAATGAGCTGAGTTCGTAAGGAAACTCTCAACGAGGCATGTGTGTTTGTGAAGGTATGCTGCCCTAACCCGTATAATTTTCGACTTATGGGGCGCTGTTTTCAGTGACGTGATAAACGAGGTAATGCAAATCAATAGGATATAACATATCAAGAGTAAAACGCATATTATGAACGAAGTGGAGAGAATTACACACGACGCCGCGTAGCGGCGTTTGTGTAGCTCCACAAGTGCGTAATTGCTTTACAACTCGAGAAATGTACTGTACTTTTTCTACGACTACACTATACTTCCTTCAGGATAGTACAGACAGATATTGTGTTGATACACAAATATCGAATACGTCTCTTGTCACTTTAAGCTAACAGCATGAAAAGGTACAAATGATTATAATTATTCTTGTATTTGTTTATTGGTAAATTGCATTTTTCAATTTGAACTAAAATGAATCAGTTTTTCATATCTTAACCTTATTAATAACAAAAAAACATATGAAAAACATGAAATTATATTTAAAAAAAAATTACAAATATTATAATGGTTATTTTTATAGTCACTGTGCAGTTGTTAGAAGTAACAGAATATTTTCCGAAAATGACGATAATATTCCTGAGTAACTTTTTGTAAGCGATTTCATATCTTTGACGGGTAGCAACTAATTTTTTTGCCATTTTTGCTCTTTCCAGGATTTCTGGTGATGCAGATATAATTTCATCGTCATCGCTTGACATTTTTCAACTGAAATTGAGGAAAATCAACAAAAAATAATCATTTTCAAAAAATATTACCCGTCTGCTTTTGATTTCCATTGGTCACTTGATTTTTGTTGATGAAAAGATCAAATTATCTACCTAGGTACTGACATCGCCTAAACAACAAAACAAAGTCATCTATCAACAAACTCATGAAAATCGCGCGATCGCTCGCTTTACGCACGCTGTGTGTAAGAAGATTACCGACATTGTTTTGTGTACAATATTCGTCTGCTCTTACAATAGTAGTCGTAGGAAGAGCATTCAGATGGTTGTCAATACCAATCATTGGCAGCCAGATTTTTCAATACTATTATCTACGGTGCGACCACTTCGAATTTCGATTACTTATTTCGTGAAGTATTCCATGGATTGAAGCAAGTCACCTTGGTTGGGAAATACAATTCAAGCGTCTGAAAGAAGTAAGTAATGGTTCTACGGTTAGTGGTGAAGAAAATTGTATATAGGGTGTCTCAGATATTTATGCCCAACGAATATCTTGCTCATCAGATGGAATTGAATTCTGAGGTATAATCTGAAAAATAAACGCTTTGAAGCCTTCAAAGATGTATTTCACAAAGCGACCTTCCTCAATCTATCATTCAGGAACCATATCAACTCTTTCATTTCGAATATTAGGTATCCTATATTTTTTTCTTGTTAGTGTAGAAAAGAAAAAAACATACATTTTACTCGAAATGATGAGTATTGTGAGGTTTACAGTTGACTGAGTTTTAAATAATCCAAATACGACTCAGTACGATATACACACCGCGCATACTCGTCAACCAAGTTTTCCAAGCCGATCACGTGATGTGCGCGAGTTTAAGTTCTATTTAAAGGAAATCTGAGGACTAGCATTGTCCTTCCATTTGTTGTTTATGGGTCAGTGTATCAGATGTGATATTTCATCGACTTCATGGACATCTACATACCAAAAATTCACAAAAAACAAACTATTTTCACCTAAAATCACCAAAATAGCTCCGCTGAACACTGAATCGACGAAATGAATTATTAGAAGTATCCACACAAGATCACAAACATCACATTCCGACCGAACAACTCACGAAAAGTAGAAAACTATAGTGGATGGGCTCATTTCTTCACAACTTTGACTGCCCATTACGAGATGGAGCCACATTTCGAATTAAGAAAACTCAGTTCCCAATTGGGAACAATATGCAATAGAGGGTTAAGGCACTTTTGTCCATTTTCAGTTAATGTCGATTTGTCAATTTTGTAGATGCACTTAAGACACTTTACGACCACTATTAAGATGACTAGATGACCCTAATGGAAAAATTTACTTGAAGTATATCGAGGGCCTATTTCTGAAGTCGAAATAATAAGTGAAAAGTAAACATGTGTCCTCAAACACATCTCCTCCTAGAAAAAAAAGTCTCACTTTGAAATTTTTCTTGTGAATTTTGTAAAACCTTGTATAAATATAGCTATTCCTGGTCGATGATCTCAATTCAAATTGTGTTTTTATTTTTTCAGGTAGCGCTGGTGGTTACCAAAGCAAACCCAGGGGAGCTGGTGGCAACCAACGTCAGCAGAGGCATCAGCCGTATTAAATGGTTCTAGTTTAGGTTGATATATCATCAGTTCTTGGTGAGTATTGTTAGAAGAATAAGCTTGATTATTTCTATTCTCAGTAGACTTTGCGAAGTCACTTGAAAGAAATTCAACAATAAACATCGCCTGCGGCACGCGGTCCCTTTGACCTTTTCAAAGGACCGGCGGCGCGGTGGATTTCTTTTGATCCAGCTATCTCAAGTGACATTACAAAGACTAACTGTAGATTTTGAAGGATTGAAGTGACATTCTCGATAATTTTTTAGACAAACTCACTGGCGAGTAAAAAACTCGTCTTTTGTTTTTGCGTTGAAAACGAAATAGGTCCATTGTTCGATTTTCAGATACATGTGAATATTACCTAGTGATGCTAGGAATTCAGTCAATTTTGATTACCAATTTCATTCAAATTATTCGAAACGTTGCATAGCAACAAACTTTTTTCCCTAGGCAGAGAAAGTACACCTTTGCTGCCTGCTGAGTTTCATAGAAAAGCCACTTTCTATGCTGTTTGGAGAAAATAGTTATTTGTTTTACTAGGCAGCAACATAGTAGATTGACTGTCATTGACAGTCAATTTTGATAACCAATTTCATTCAAATTACTTGGAACGTTGCATAGCAACAAACTTTTTCTGCCTAGGCAGAGAAAGTTCACCTTTGCTGCCTGTTATAATAAAGCCCCTTTCTATGATTAGAGAAAATAGTTATTTACTAGGCAGCAAAGTAGTAGAGTGGCTGCGGCGGATGATAGTTCATAGGAATTCGGGAGTTGATTTTCATATTTTGGCGAACTAGGGCTCTTTTCTTTTTAATGGTTTCATTCGTTATTTATCTCACTCTGTAGCCAGCTGATCTCATCCTGACTACCATCATAGATTAAACAAACAATAGATAGGCAATGTATATGGGCCGATTTCTGCACGTGCGAATTTGTCGCCATCTGCATATTAGTAGACACACTACGCGTCTTTGAGGAAAAATTACAGTTTCCTATAACCATTAGGAGACAGCTAGTGAACATGAATGAATTAGGATAGCCAATGAAAACATTTTCAACTCCATTGATGAATGGTAGACAGGGGCGTGCTGCATCGACACACGAAAATTGCACACGAGCGGCAGTAGCGGCACACACATAAGGGCAGGAAACCTATGATTAAAATATTATATCTTTAAACGAACAATACTTGTATAATGTGAATCTCGGAAACCGTTCCAACAATTTTGATGAAATTTTTATGAATTTCGTATACATGGGGTTTCAAGGGCGATAAATCGATCTAGCTAGGATTCATTTTCAGAAAATGTATATACCGGGTGTAACAAGATCATGGCACGCCAAACCATTTACGACTCCAACGATTTTCATGAGATTCCGTATACAGAGGGTTTCGAGGGCGATAAATCGATCTAGCTAGGATTCATTTTTACACTCTTTATGAAGTTTACATAACGTTAACTGATCAACTATGAATTCCATATGTTCTCTGCATTCAACTTCGTTATGAAAGATGGGACACTTTTTCGACAGCTTTCTGAAAATTTTATTCTTGATGAATAGTTTTGTTCTATTTATATATGGTTTCTTGAAGAATGTTTTTGAAAAAGAAGTTAAAGCTACATCAACCATAGTCTTGAATTCGTCAGTGGGGTATTTTAGATGTTGTATGTTCTTACCATAATTTTTATTGATTATCAATAATTGTTTTTCGTCATTCATTATATTATTGTCGAAATCGTTAACTATCAAATTATTTGCACAAGGATTACATTTGAATTTATCGATACATTTTTTTGCCAAGTATCCTGCAAAATAAGCATTCGAACAATCTTCCAGGGTTACAGGTGAATATTTATTTTCGAGTTTATTTTCCTCATCATTTGAAGAAGACCAGGATGATGGAATCACTTGATTTTCGAGTAAATTCTCTGTAGGCGGATTGTCAAGATTTTCCTCGACATTTTCATTCACATGACTAGTAGATGGAACTGTCATCAAATTAATATCATCATCTTCTTCACAATTACTTAAATCTGATGACTTCATTGAGTTCATTTTTGCCATGATACGAAAGGTACACCTGAAAGTTCTAACCGTTGGGTTTGGATTGAATCCGCCTCTTTGCCTTACACTTGAAAAAGTATTTTCAATAACATCTTGATTTAATCTGTTGTTAATAAATAAGTGAATCCTAATTCTTTTTGTTCATTATAAATTCCCAATATTGAAGACAAAGTGATCAATATTCCATCAAGACAGTCAGGTCTAGAATATCCAGTTGTAGTAACTTTCTTGATTTCTATCAATGTATCTCTTGCAGAAATGATCGTATTTTCGACTATATATAGGGCGTTCATCGGACATTGCGCAACTATATGGATTCTTGGAATACAACTGCTTACTGTTCAAACAATCGAACAAATTATTCATCATCTGGAAGAAATCTGCTGTAGCAAGAGCAGTATCACTTTCTAATTGTTTGGTTTCATGACAAGTTCTAATAGCTGCGGCAATAGAATTGCTGAAAATTTGGAGTGCCAACCGACAATTCATTTTTTCGAATGCTGATGGATTCATGTGGGCAGGAGTGATCTTGAGTAAAGTCCTTCCTGTTGTACTACATGTGTCAATATTATATGTCTTCCTCACATCATCAAACGATACTCTCCTATTCATCCAGATAAAGTCATGGTGCAATAAATTATTTCTAAAGTTCTTGAACAAATGGAGCGGATCAAAAATACAATATATTCTTCGGCCTTCGATTTCAAAATATGGTTTTTCAATGGAGACATGTAAATTCCTCATTGCTGCCTGGTTGTTTGTTCCCTGGTCACACACTACTGCCTTGACAATAAGGCCAGTATTTGTCACCTGTTGAATGGCTTTGATGATCACTTCTTTCAGGATGGTATGTTTCATAGCACTACCACAGACAAAATATCCTAACGGAATCTTCCACTTGGAATATAGTCCTCTGGCCAAAAGTACCATCACTTGTGTCCCCGTCGTCTTAGATCTACCACCTATTATTCCTAGGTCTTCGAATCCTTCAATTGTGTCCAATAACTTTGAATATTCAAATTTTCTTTTGATTTTCATTTCATCAAATTAAATACAAAATTTAATACCTTTTTAATGGAAAGTAAATTGCTTCCCAACCACGATCTCTCTTTTCGTAGAAAGGAGTAATCAAAAATCATGATGGTATTTAAATAATATCTATGAATATGTTGGGTTGAAATATTCATCACTTGTGTATTTTTTCCTCCCTCAAGTTATTTCAATGTTACAATTTTATTTTACTGGCCCACTCTTGAAATATTCTGAACTGACCACGAAGAGTCCGAATTTACTTTTTTTTGAGATCGATAATTGACGTACTATTGATCCACCCTGTATAATAGAAAAATGGAAAAACCTATTGATGACTGAATTGCTCAAATTTTAGAGATTTAAAAAGTGTAGATTCTGGCTGGCTGTCACTGTTGGAATTCTCTAAATTCAATATCCCACTTGACTCGCCCTGTATATTCGATAATAGTTTTCAGTTATAGATTATTTGATAAAGTTTCATAACGATATCAAATGTTATTTATAGCTATTGTATGCTATTATATAGAACCCGAACTCAAGCAATCGAGGTGGACGTATATATATACAGGGTGGTCCAGGTTAAACGTCATTAAATTTGATAGGCGACAGAAAAACGGGAAAGAAGTAGACTTTCATGATAAAACTTTGGTTGAAAATGCTTCCTAACAGAGATACAGGGTTTCAGAGTTTAGACACCTCGATTGAGTTCTCGGCGGCCGCGTTAAGTTTGGAATCATCAAAATCAACAGTGTAATGTGTACCTACTTCATTAACATTATTGAAAACCATACTAGTACAGCCTGTACAAAACCTCGAAAATTTTAGCCTTTTTGATGCAACCCTCTAAATTCGAATAAGTATCTTGAAAACGAAGCCATAAATCAAACATTTGCAAAGGTATTTTTATTCTCTAAATTGAACAAGAAATCCAAAAATGTAATCTTTTTGTAAAATATTTAGTGAAACCGAAGATTAGGTGAGGGAGAAGGATATGTCGACCCCCATTATCTACGCCACTGAAGAATTTCCTCGAATAACCTCAATCATTACTCAGAGATGAAATACATTAGTATCTGTGCGAAATTTGATCAAAATCGGTCGAGTGGTTTGGAAGTAATGATGAGAAATCTAATTTCTGCCCACAAATTTGACACCCTGTATCTTTGATGGGAAGCATTTTTAACCAAAGTTTTTCCATGAGTCAACTTTTTTCCATTGTTTTATCGCTTATAAAATTTTATGACGTTCAACCTGGAACACCCTGTATATATGTAGCTCCCAGATTTTCTCGATTCTGTAGATATGGAAAGGTATAGACTTAGGTGTATTGTAATCTCTTGAAATTATCGGAATCGAAGAGAGTTGCTCAGATTTTAGATATTTGAAAAAGTGTAGATTCCGGCTGTAACTCTTGGAATTCTCAAAATTAATATCCCATTTGACTCACTCGCCCTGTATATTCGATAATGATTTCCAGTCAGAGATTATTTGATTTGGTTTCATAACGATATTAAATGTGATTTATAGCTATCATAATGCTATTATAGAACTAGAACTCAGGCAATACGAAGAGAACGTACTTATTATAGCCCCCTGTATATATTATGGAATATCCTAATGGCGACTGATGAGTTGATCAGATTCTGTCGATTCTGAAGATTTGAGAAGGTGTAGATCTCGGTGTAGATTTAGTTATCTCTTGAGTTCATCGGAATCTCTTCAACTCACCCTGTATATTTATGTCATGATTTGAAATTACAGATTATATCAATCATTGTAGGTATCAATGTTTTTGAATAAGATACCTGCCGTCAACGAACTCAAGCGATCAAAAAGGCGTACGCATATTGACCCACCCGATATCATAGAATAACCCATTGACAAACCATAATTATGTTATTCAGATTCTCGATATTTTGAAATTTTAAAAATGTTCGATCTACAATTTTACTCACTCTGTATATTCGATAAGTTCCAGCTATTTAGATATTTCAATTTATTTTTAATCTATGTTTAAAGTATACGTTTCAAAATCAAGTTTCAATTCATCTTGACCTACCCCGTAAAAAAAACAGTGAAGACTTCCTGAGATTTAAGTTTGTTTAGGTGCATGCCTATACACGCGCGTGAATAAAAATAACCATCGAAGGAACCATATCTACCTCATACACAGTTTAAGGAATGAGTATACATGTTATTTTCCTACCTGTTAAGACCCTTTCATGTTGTGAGCCATAAATCATGATCCTTATCTTGATGCCACCCCCAAATACTATTATTCTTTCACAATTTTACTACGAGTCGATCGATAAAAGAGATAGAGCGCCATCTGACATTTGACGATAATACTAATGTGAATTTGGCGTACAATTTATGAGCGTTACCAATTTGTACAGGGATTGTCTATCTATTGTTTGTTTAATCTATGCTACCATCATGCCTGGTATCATTCAAATTCTTATAAGAATCTTTATACACGGTGACTTGAAAAATTCAATTATTTAGAAATTCTAACCTTGATAAAAAAAAACCTTATGAGATATTGTTTTGATAATTGATATACGAGTATTTGTGACTAGTCCGAATCGATTGCCATTATCTTAATTTTTGTAAAAAATGTCTAATCCGTTTTCTTCAATTTTGCTGAAGTTTTTGTGATCACAGTAGGCCAAGAAATTGTGTTTGATAATTTTCTTTCTCGACAGAAGTAGATAATTTTGAGTAGTATATATAATATGAGGGAAGAAATCCGAATCGCCAAGGAATACGGAAATACAAGAGGAGGGTGGGGTGGACCAAATTGTAACACACTGTATATTCGTTCTGGTAGTGCAATCTTTATGCAGTGCAATTGCCACTGTAAGTTTTGATAAATTATGGGACATTTTTTATATGAGGGAAATATTTTCTGAAATTGGCCCCTAGCACCAGACTAAAATTTTAGCCCTCATTGAAACAAAATATTTTCTTTGCAGATTTCATCTTGTCATTCATCTGAAGTTTTCCAGTCATACCATTTTAGACCGATAATTGGAAAGTTTGAACAAGGTACAAACATTTCGTCATGTTCAAAATTGAAGTAATAAAAAATATTTTATTTTTTGATAATAGACTAAGAATTCAATATTGATCTTGTTTCCTGTTCAAGGAGATTTTCCTCCTTATTTGTATTATGTATGAATAATTTTAATAATTAGTGATTTAGTTAGTATGTTTGTATATGTCGTCTTAGATTTATGTAAAATATGTATGAGAGGTAAGAATTCATTGAGCCGTAGGCGAAAGCATGGGGTTTTTAAACTACCTATCAGGATTCAGAAAGAAATATATTTATCTCTCTCTGTTTATGTGTCTGTCTCTTTATTTGTATCATGTTCCTATGTGACCCAGTTTTTATGCCTTGATGTACCGGATTCAGGATGTATAAAAGGCGTCCTACAAAATAATTATGTCTATTCAATTTTTTGTCGAAAAACTTGATTAACGGAAATGAAAAAACGTTGATTATCAGAAGGGCTTTTGTGTATTGGATAATTCCATATTGGTTTCTAGATATGGAAACTAAAATGCCTCACTAAATTTACTTTCCAACGAGGTGTGACAAATACAAATACTAGTGCTATCTGAACAATGGGCTAGGAAACTAAACTGTTATTTATTTAATTATAATTTTTTATTCTTGATCTTCAATTAAGGCTTTCAGTTTTATCAGATTTCGAGATTTATAAAATTTTATGAATGGAATGGCTCTAGATCACAAATCAATTGACCATATTTCACATGTTAGTTGATAATTTTTTTTCTATCTGTTGGCATCAATAGGTCTTTTCATTTAGATGACAAATGACAATCGTTGTTTACATCTCGCCTCCAACGACAGTGGCGGCGAAAATTTTTTTAAGGAATTATTCAAATTATTGTTGTTGACATTGACATTTCTCATTTAATGTTGATCAGGAGAATAATGTCGATGCAGAAAAAAAATCAAATTAATATCATGTTGAAGAAAGCAGGAAATAATGGAACAAAATGTACACAAGGTTTCTACAGCAGAATGATCAAGTAATAATAGTTTTCATCTAGTATTTATTCTCCACTGAGCACCATTGACGATATGAAAAATAAAAATAAAACTTTTCCAGGAGCCTATCATTCTCAATGAAACAACTCTGGGGCTTAATTTACCAAAATGAAGGGAAAGCAAAGAATAGTACCTCTCCTCTTTGGGGAAAGGCTCACTATACTGATTCAGGTAATATGGGGTAGGTCTAATCTACATGATGTATTTTTTTAAATGTAACTACACTCTCAATCTGGAGGCATATTTTCCATGCTGTTACTGTAAGTGGTAGCGAAGCTAATGACGATTATTGAAGTATGTAGAAAAGGTTCAGTTTAGGAGGAACATTCTGATCTTGGTGTGCATGAAATTATTTGGAGGCTTCTTGATGCTGTTACTGTACGTGGAATGGAAGCTACAATGACTATTGAAGTATGTGGAAATAAAGGTTCATCAGTTTAGGAGGAACATTTCGATATCATGGTGTGCATGAGAGTTTTAATATCAGGCATTGATGTTATACAAAGGGAGTCAGTAATAATTTTCATTATATTTTGAATAAGTACTTAATACATAAGATTTTGCTCAATTTTGTATACTTCCATACCAAAACTCCAACAGTCAGAACATTGATAAGTTATGCTGAGAGAAGGCATTAGTTTCTAGAGGCAAGCAGTATAAGCTTACTATTTCGATTACCACCTATCATAATTTGAAAAATTATTCCAATATCATGAAATATAAATAAGTATATGAAAAATGTAATCTAGTAGTATATTGAAAATATTAAATTTTTGTTTTGTACTCATCAACTATAACTAGTCACAGATTAACAATAAGGTTTGTTAATCTGTGACATAGTCATCTATGAAAATATTAAATAGGTACTTTGGATTATCAATGAATAGTCCTCTGGGACAGAAATTGTTCAAAGTTTTTTTTGATATGAATAACCATCACATTATTTTGTATCTGGCGACGGAATGCCACATCTGATTATTTACAAGCAAAATAAAAATCAAGACCATTCTGAGTTATTTAATTATTATAAATTCAAATTAGTGGATGATATCAAGGAGTACATAAAGAATGTCAGATCATTTTCTGATCTCATCCCCAATGCAATATTTGATCACCCTTATGTATATATTATTATCCTAATAATTTACTAGTTGGTGTCATAATTTTAAACAGGTGATTATATCAATAAAGCTATGGTCTTAGAGCTATTGAACTCTCCATTAATGATAATGTATTTTATTCCTATCAAAATGATTATTAATGACTACAGGTGTATAACATAATTTTAAACAGGTGATTATATCAATAAAACTATGGTCTTAGAGCTATTGAACTCTCCATTAATGATAATAATGTATTTTATTCCAATCAAAATGATTATTAATGACTACAGGTGTATTATCTAATGCCATATGCTTACAATATGAATCCAACTATTTGAAAGCTTGAAAAGTCCAGTCTGTAACATAATATGTTATATGCAACAATTTCTGATAAATTTGTGATTACTTCATTAGATCATTAAACATAATATTTAAATTAGAACTAACATATCATTCATTTATTTATCAGTTTTGCTGTGAAAATAATAAAGGAAAGCACATTTTATAATTAGGTATTTTCGAAAAATTCATACATGACAGCATTCCTGATTCACGAATTTATTACAATTCATTATTACTGTTTCACTCCTAGAAAGTCATGAAAACAAAATATAAACATTTAAGAATTAACAGATCATTTATACATTATTTTTGATGTTAGTAATAGAAGGGAGCAATTGTATAGTTATTATATATAAAAAAAACATCACTATATCTTTACTGATTCTCTTCTAGAAAATAATTAGAAGAAAATATGAACATTGCGAAATAACATAGAACATTAATGTATTGAAAATGAAGGGTAGCAAATGTTATAATAGTTATTACATCAAAAAATTGTTCACACATCTTTACTGATCCACTTATTCTAGAAAATTATTTACACAAAATATGAAAATTTAGCACTAACAGAACATTTGATGAGTATTAAGAATGAAGCCAGCAAATATAATTATGTTATTATATTAATACATTCTTTCCACTACATATCATTACTGATTCACTTGAAGAAAATAATTAAACAAAATATAAAAATCAAGTACTAACAGAACATTTATTCATCACTATTAAGAATGAAGCCAGCAAATATATTTACAGTTATTATATTGAAAATATATGATTCACTTCTAGAAAATAACTAAAACAAAATATAAACATTACAAAATAAAATATATCATCAATTAATTATTTTTGCTGAGTATTAAAAATAAAGGGGAGCAAATGTTATAACAGTTATTACATACAAAATTCTTTACACTACATCTTTACTGATTCACTTCTTGAAAATGATTGAAAGCAAATTAAGAAAGAGATTTAGAACTAACACAGAACATTTATTCATCATTTTTGATAAGTAGGTACTAAGAATGAATCCATCAAATGTAATAATAGTTATTATATCAAAATATCATTACTCTACAGCATTAGGTAGTGATTTACTTCTAGAAGTTATTCAAAACAAAATATTGAAATTTAGAACTAACACAGAACATTCATTCATCATTTTTGATATTTATTAACAAAACAGGCATATATAATAATAGTTATCACATCAAAAGAACTATTACACTACAACATTAGGTAGGTACTGATTTACTTCTAGAAGATAATCAAAACAAAATATTGAAATTCAGAACTAACATGGAACATTTATTCATCATTGTTGCTGAGTAATAAAAATAAAGGGAGCTAAATATAATAATATAATTATTATGTTTAAAAATTCATTACACTACAGCACTACCAATATCAACTTCTAGAAAATAACTGAAACAAAATATGGAAAAATTGATCTTATTCATTATTTTTGATAATTAATAAGGATTAAAATGATTAGTCATTATATTGACAAAACACCCTTGAGAAGAGAAATATTGTACATTATACTGGGTGACACAATGTAACTCTTATTGTTTACGGTAGAAGGAGAATAAAATAAACCTACTCACAGGGGATTTTTTTTCCTCCTCAAAACACAAGATACGTTTTCACTATATGAGAAGATATACAGGAAGCAACAAAAAGTGTAGGAATTTTGAATAGAACACCCTATATATCTATCTATAAATCGAGGTATATTAGTTATATTGTTATCTATGACAATCAATTCTCATTGGTAGTGATCACTGAAAATCAATATTGTAATCATTGAAAAGGCCTCCTTTTGAAAATCATTCAAAATCGATCAAACTTTATTATTTCTGAACGCTCATAAACTGAGAAATAGTGTTCCAATTCAAAATTCACACACTTTTCGCTGCCTCCCGTATATTTTTCTGTAGGTAAAAATTTATTTGTTAATTCTTGTCGGCAAAAAATCCCCTGTGAGGCTATTTTAGTTTTTTTCTACTGTCAAAAATAAAATATTCATGGGGGTGGTACTTTTCTAATGTGTCACCAGGTGTGTAGGCCAACATAGAAATAATGCTACTAATTTAATAAAATAATAATACCTCCATGAAATTATAATAGGAAAATATTCATTTCAAATTTGCTTGGTATGTATACTATGTTTTCTACAGTCTGTTTTCAAGAAAATTGAAAACGGTTGTAGGATATGCTCATAAGGAACAACATAATTTTGTTGGCATATATTCATTCCATTGAAAACTATTATACAAAATGGTAGTCTGCATGAAAAAAATAAGTTAGTTATTATGGTGATATTCAGATAAAAAAAGGGTTCATCAACACTTCTAGCATCAAAATCATTCTTGTTTATCATGCTGGTCAATAATCAGAAGCAATTGACTGAAGAGTTTTATGGCAATTTCCAGATTAACTGGTTTTACTCTCAAACAGGATTTTTTACTACTAGCTTTGATGTGAAAAAATGTTACCATTGAATATTATAGAGTTTAAATACATACACAGATACAGAAAACAACATGAGAAGAAATATAAAACTACTGGAAATACAGCATTTGGATTATCTTCAAATTTTTATATTTGCTTCACATGAATGGTACCTATTGGTGATGATGGATGGTGATGAATGTCCTGCCAGATCAGATCTTGCTTGTTGTTTGTAGCAGGTCCTCCAGATCAAATGCTTCACGGAATTATTATGTGATATATTCAAACAGCCATTGATGTGGTTGAATTTTCTTCATCTTTTCACAGTATCCTGGCAGATTTAATTCCATGGAAGAAAAAAAGAA